TGTTGGCAGCGGTGGGATTCGAACCTACGCCCCCGAAGAGACTGGAGCCTTAATCCAGCGCCTTAGACCGCTCGGCCACGCTACCCATGCGAGACGAGTTTTTAGCCATTATAAAAAAAATGCTTCCACAGTCTCAGTATTTTCTCACTGTATACCAGTTTTTATCGAGTGTCGAGGTTTAGGCTTTTTTTGTAAGTAAAGGTTAACTTACCCCTGTTGTACTGTAGTTATTCAGAATGAATTTAATTTTTAGAGCGTTTTCACACCTGGGTTTTGTGAACACCAAAACGAGAGGTCACTTGCAGCTGGCTCCCTTTTTGGTTTACTTCAACTGACTCATTTAAAGTGTACTATATGTGAAAACAAAACACCTAAAGACAATCAATCAATCAATCAAAACTGGGCAAAAAAATTAATAAAAAATAACGATGGTGTTGAAAACAAGGTACAGTTATAGTATGAGCATAAATGAAAATATGAAAAAGAAATGTTCTTCAAACAAAACTGAGACATCTTTTATTATGCATGATCTATTAATTTGAATTAGTTTAACGTGAATCTGTAAGACCATATCAAGAATGCAGTATTCATGCTGAATTTGTATTTATATATGCTGTTGTATGCTACATATAATACCAAACACTTTTCATACATATTCAGCATGAATACACTATTCTTGATATGCTCTGCAGTATCTTGAATCTTAAATCCTTTACATGAGCATGCAAACTCCAGCATCATAATCCAAAATTAAAGGTAGACAGATTTAATTTAAACAGACAACTATGAGGAAGATAAATGGAATGCAAAAGAAAGCATGAAAATTAAAGATGTATAGAGGCTGTAATGGAGATTGGATCAATTCTGTGGGGATTATGACCTCTGCTGGTGATTGGGTGATATGATTGTTGTGGTTGTGTCTTCCCAGAGGTTTTAGAACTAGGATTGATATTCAATTGTGGCTGTTTATGCAAAAACTGAGAGATGTGTGCCTTGACAGTTGTTGGATATTTTATTATTTCATAAAATATATTTACTTTTTTTAAAAAGGAGCATATATGATTTTTTTATATATACTCACTTTCAGATAAGTTGTTAGAATATTTCAATGAAAAAACAACAACAACAACTATTACCTAAATGCAGTTCTTGCATCAAAATGCTTTACCATCTTCAATGAAGCCATTCTCCTCGGAATTCGTGGAACCAGTCCCCACATGCCAAATAATTATAAGACAAAAATAAAGAAAGAAAGTCCATTTACACATTGCACGTCAGGTTAGGAATTGTATTTTTATGATGAACTGGAACATAGTCAAGCTTGTGTAAAAAGAAGGAATAAAGATTAAAGATTAATATGAAAGTGGTTTTAAGAAAATCTGATTCAGTATCACATATATAAATATATCACATCATATTTTGCTATTTTATAACCTTAAGAGGATTTGCCTCAGATGGCTTTTCATTTTACTTACCACTGCTGTCCAAATGTGGTATGACTTGACCCCTGAAATCAGAAGCCAGAAGTCCTTTTGTGTCATTTGTGTATAGGTTAGGATTTTTCATAATGGAAGAACATACATATAATGATAAAGAAGATTGTATTTGACAACCTTAGTTACCATTTACTTTCATTGCATCTTCTTCCACTCTCTGTTATACTGACAGTTTATTTATTTACATATTTTTGCTATTTTATTGCTGTGAGAAATGAGAAATTGAGAGAAACTGTCCCCCACTTTTGACAGAATTGTGTTAAATCATTGAAATCTATCTTTAGAATTCCACATTTAACAAATCTCAGCAAAATTAAAAAGTAGGTCACCACCTTTGATATATACAGTATGCATGTATATATTAAATATTACAGAAATCTATTGCACTTCTTACTAATAGTTAAAACTGTCCTAATGATGATGAAAGGATTTTGCATTAGTGTCAGCAAACCTAGAAATAGCATGGACAGAGTATCATTGTTTTGGTTACGTGGTTTTAGCCGTTTTAACCGTTAACCTTTTCCAGTCTGTGTTACATCTAATCTGAATATATTATGTAATACATATTTTGTTTCGTTGGTGTCAATGACAGATCTTGTCTTCTGTGTTACATGACATTAACCATCATGACGTAAGTCATATTTTAACTAGGTTTAATTTATAAACAAAGTAGTTAGTCAAATGGAAAAATAATAAACCCATAAGTGCCTTCAAAAAACACAGCACCACATCAGTGGATTTTCAAACAGGGTGTCTGTGAACCCTAGGGGGTACTGCAAGGGATCCATCAATTATTGTATGTGAACTTTTGTGGAAAAAGAAAATTAAATGTGTTGAACAAAAATGCAATGTTAATTTAACTTCACTCAAAAAAGAAAATTTGCTGAAAATGTGCTCACCCTTAGGCCATTCGACAGATTTTCATCAGAACAGATTTGGAGAAATTTTGCATTACATCACTTGCTCACCAATGTGTCACGTCTGTTTCTGGTTTTGTTAATGTTTTCATGTCTTTTATTTTGACGTATTGTCATAGTCATGGTTCTTGTCATGTTGTGTGATTCCCTTGCTCCCCATGTGATGTGTTTCCCTTGTTAATAGGTGTGTTCGACTTGAAGCGGCGCTGCGCAGACCGATCGGTGTGTGACATCAAAGTACCGTGAGAGCGATTCGAAAGCATAAGGAGCTGTCTGCTCTCTATAGCTCTCACGGTACTTTGATATCATAAGGTCAATTCACACCGCACCGACAAACGCCGACAAACGCCAACAGACTAGTCTGTCGGAGTTTGTTGGATCAGTGTGTTACCCCTGTCGGCGTTTGTTGGCGTTGGTCGGAGTTGGTTTTAACCCGACTGAACATGTTTAATCGGCGTTTGTTGGGTCGTGGAATGTCTGAGCAGTGTGATATGATTTTCCAACAAACGACAACAAACTCTGACGTAATCTGACCTGGCCACGAACCGTTGCCATGACAATGAGGCAAGACTGCAAGTAGGTGCTGGGCGCGCTTAGGAAAATAACTTTAAAAATGGCAGGTTTCTGGACAAATCAGAAAGAGGAACAGTTTTTGGATCTTTGGGAGGAGAGGCCAGAGCTTTATGCGGTGGGTGTGGTTGAGTATACCAACCGCAACACGAGGGGGAATGCGATCAGATCGATCGCTACAGCGCTTGGGAAATTTATTTATTTGACAATATATTATTATTATAATAAAACTGCCTTACAATATTACCAAAGACATTAATAACAGTATCATTTTGATTGTTGTTACAAGATCATCCATTTTCCCCCTAGTTAAGTCTCTCTGACTTGAAGTCTGTTGGTGTCTGTTGGGGCAGTGTGAACATGACAGTTATTTTTCATAAAATTCGAAATCCAGCAGCCAACGTGTCTGTTGGCGTTTGTCGGCGCGGTGTGAATTGGCCTATACACCGAACGGTCTTCGCAGCTCCGCTTCAAGTCAACACACCTGTTGTGTTGTTTTTGTTGGTTTATATTGTCAGGTGTTTTCAGTTCAGTCTTGTCATTGGTTCATTGTCTTAATTACTTTCAGGTGTGTCTTGTTTAGTTATTAGTTCTTGTGTATATATAATCCTAATGTTTCCATTGTTCCTTGTCTAGCTTTTTCTGTAACCCGCTGATGGTGAGCCTTTGTCAAGGTCAAGGTCAAGGTCAAGGTCATGGTCATGTTCTAGTCAAGTCATCGTCAAGTTAGGCCCTGTCCCAAGTGGCACACTTAGCCTACAAGCGAAAAGTCCAAAGCCATTTTAAACAAATATGCTGGTGGATTTTGATGTGAGATGACAACAGGAGATGGATTTTTTTTTTCAATGGAGGAATTGTTATTATGGACTGGTATTTTGGCCAGCAACCAAAGTTTAAAGCAGGGGTGTCAAACTCATTTCCTGGAGGGCCACAGCCCTGCAGAGTTTAGCCAAAGCCACTAAAAGGCAAGCCAGCAACCTTTAGCCAAAAAAGCGTAATGGCTAATGCTAACGCTTCCGGTTTGCCAGTACGTGGGAAAGTAGACCAGAGGCCGTTTTATTTATTTATTTTATTTTTTTGAATGGATGTCAATGGAGGACAGGCTTTACTACTCTGAATAAACAGCTTTTTAGAGGAAACAGCTTCTCCTTTAATGAATTGACAGCCTATCGGCTAATCTTCAACATGTTTTACACTAAACAATACTTTTGGATTGAACTATTTTTAGAGATTACACCAAAAAAAAAAAAGCCATTTTATAAGAGAAGTCACTGACTTTTTGCGACAGGTGGGATTCAGCTTGGGTGAGTACATTTTCAGCAATTTCAACTATTCCAGCAAAAGTTCAGCTAAATGTTTTATTTTTCCCTCCTTTTTTTATTTTAAAGTATAAGACTTTAAATAAGCAAAGTCTATTCTATTTCAGTATCTTAGATACACATTAATACACACTGCAACTACATATAATAAGTATTTGTATACTTTGCAAGTATATCAATATATTAATTATGGTACTATATGAATGCTACTATATGCCAGGCTTAAAATGCAACATTAATTTTTATACAATATTCAATATGTATAATATGTTCTGTGTTTCTATCTGCCAAAGGGTCCTTGGCCTGGAAAAGGTCACCAATTTTGATACTTGTGCGAGCACCTGTGTACCATCTCTTTTGTATATGCAAAGCACATTTACTCAAATTCAGCTTTGTATGTACAGTATCTATTTAAGTTGCAAAAACCAAGGAAAGCAAAGTATGCACTGAGTCAACAGAACAGCACTCATAGAGTTTGGACACACTGGGAGTAAGGGAGAGAAATAGAGAGGGAGAGAGAGAGAGTGGCAGGCAGAGAGAGAGAGAGAGAGGAGAGAGAGATCGATCATGATTGGGTGATGGTTTAGGGGGTTGGCATACCTCTCTGCTCCCTACTGGGGGATGGGAATAGGGATGGGAATTCTGGGAGGGGCTTCACAGTGACCTCATACTTCATATATTGTAAGTCTGAACCGGCATTAACTAAATGTTCTGCTTTTAAATCTAACCGCAGTGCAGCGAAAGTTTACATCTATTCAGCATCTGTCAATCTGACCTCTGTATCCTTCACAAATCCAACGCGCGACGCAGAGGTAAGTGAAATGGTCTATCGTGTCCGCTAGAAAGGATTTTGCTCGTGTAGTCTATGTATGGCAAGGGCTCGACGCTTTCGAACAATCATTGGATTTCAAGTCTTCAAATTGTCATGAACATCACGCATTTGCTGTGTATTGTCCTTCTCACCCTTTTTCGCGTCTCACGGTCGTTTTCCACGGCCCAAATTAATACCTCTCAAAGACAAGGCAATGAATGAAATGCAAAGAATTTGTCGGAGACCCCCATTATAGGTTTTGTTATATGTTGGCATTCATGTCGAGTAGCCTATTTGCATTTGGTCTCTGTGCGTGCGACGTTTTTCAATGTATGCCGGATGCCGGTAGTGTAACATTTGTGGAATGAAACATTTAGCGCGTAATCCAATAATAACAATGGAACTGTTTTGTAAATAGAGGATATGAACTGCTTGACGTGTCAAAACGTTATGCATAATGCATCATTTTTTTTTATCTAGGCCTATATTACAATTTACTGGTGATTTATTTTAAACTCAAACGAAACGTTAGGCTATATGGATGTATATGCAGTATGTATAGCACCCTTAGAGTAAGATTTCTTAGCAAGACTTTGTGTTAGATTATTGCGTTAATTTTGTATTTCGAGTGAGTGGGGGCGGGGCGGGGCGAATCAATAGGGCTCGTATTGCAGTGATGCTGAGAACACGCTACAGCTTTGACTTTAAAGATGCTGAATGCACCCTTCGTTAAAGATGATATTAAATATCTGTTGTATTTATGTTATATTTACAGAAATGTTAATGGCTGACTTTGTACAATTCGTTGCAGTCCAATGTAGGCCGATGCGTGATTTTTGATTAACTGATGCAATGTGCTTATGTCCTTCTGTGCCAGTTTTGTACGTTCGTGTCGGTGTGAAGTCGCCGCTCGCCAGGCCCACATCACCGTTAATTTTCCACTGGCACGTGAATGCCAATGCTGACGCACCATACCTCCAGTGTACATGACATAACCGCGAGAAGTAGGAGAGCCATACAGCATGCCCCATTATTAATTTAATGGACATGGTGTGCAGACAAGCTGCTGCAGTGGTGCGAGGCATGTGCCAGTGTCATGCCCATTTTGTGGTGCTACTTTTGGTTTTTGATGTTGCTCCACATACTGCCATACTGCTTTTAAGTTAATCGCATACACACACTTCCTTGCATTTAGTAGCCCTGTGTGTAGAAGAGAGGTATGTAGTCCTGATGGTCTGAATTTGACTGAACACATTTTTATGTCAAGAATAATGTGACGTGACGTGACATGTGGCCAAGTATGGTGACCCATACTCGGAATTAGTGCTCTGCATTTACCCATCCAAAGTGCACACACACGGCAGTGAACTCACACAAACCGTGAACACACACCCGGAGCAGTTGGCAGCCATTTATGCTGCGGCGCCCGGGGAGCAGTTGGGGGTTCGGTGCCTTGCTCAAGGGCACCTCAGTGGTGGTATTGAAGGTGGGAGAGAGCGCTGTACATTCACTCCCCCCACCTACAATCCCTGCCGGTACGAGACTCGAACCCACAACCTTTGGGTTATGAGTCCGACTCTCTAACCATTAGGCCACGACTTCCCCCACAATAATAAGTGAGTAATAAGAATAATGTTTCAAACATGCAAATTGTTTTCGTTCATCATAATGTTATCAAGAATGATTGATGAATACAGGGATGATTTATCCACAAATGAAAATGTAGTCATAACCTACTCGCCCTCATGCTGTTCCAAACCTGTCATGTTGTAATATTGTTTTTTTCTACGGAACGCAATAGGAGATTTTTTTTTTTAAAGAATCTTTACACAGCTGTTTTCCATCCATTCTTACTGACCGTGGGTGTCATGCTCCAAAAAAGGACAAAACCCTACATAAAAACCCATAAAAATAGTTAATATGGCTTGTGTCATGTGAGAGCTTTGTGTGAGGTTACCTCTTGCACTAACCTTGGCACATTGCACCAGGTTGGAAGTGGCAGATGCCAAAACACAGTTGGTTCTAACGTGTCTTGTAAAGTGCATGTAATGCTCCAGTTCAAATATGCAGGATGGAAATCAAATCAAAGCAGTCAAATGGCTCTGAATATAGCTTATGAGTCATATGGGCTATTGTTTTTGGTTCTATGAACCAAATGGACTATGAACTTAGCATTAGAGCTAAGTGAAAACTCAGAATTACTCCTTTTGTGTTCCGCAAAACCAAATAACATACAGGCTTGGAACAACATGAGAGAGAGTTTTCTTTTTGGGTGAACTATTCTCCTTTATTCATAGAATGCTGTTAAGCACCTTTCTCTTCACATAGTCACACAGAGCTTGCTGTATGTGTTCACTCCACTTATGTTATCATGCACATGTGACAGGACACAACTAGCCACTGACGTAAATGTGTGCTCCATAAAAAGACATTGACAGTTTGAACCAATGGCAATTTGATTTCATGCTGACATGAGACACTAAAATGACACTACATGAAAAAAAGAGAGTATTTAAAGCATTAAGAATAAACTCGTTTAATATGTTTGTGTCTCTAGTACATCATGCATAGGTGGATTCATATTTAGCACTTATGTTTTGGTTACTTTCTAAATCTATATATTAAATATCTTTCTTGCTGAATTGTATCAAAAGCATTTAAAATGTTAATATTATGAAAGCGACATTATTTTTCAAGGTTGTCCTCTGAGCTCCTATAATCTGGTCTAATGAATTTATATAAACAAATAGACGGGAGGGGAACCTACGGCAATGCAATGTATTGTCCTCTAGATAAAGATAGAATGAGACAGAGAGACAAAAGGGGAGAGGACGTAGAAAGAAACAGTAATTTAAAAGTCTAAAGAGATAGGTTGATAAAATTAATTAATTGCTATTTTATATTATGAATGAGAATGGAGGATCCTGCATATTTTATCATAGTTTATCAAATCCAATGTTGTTTACCATGATCATATTTTTTAATTACATTGTTTGATGCTCAGATGAATACATTATTTTCTTATTCAAAGCAAAGGGCTGGTAAACAGGATAAATATGATTTCTTTGAATATGATTTTATCTGTTCAGATTATGTGAATCTGCCACAATAAGCTTGTAGAGAGAACAGAGACTGAAACCTTCCTTGTAGATTACACTTTTATTTACATCCTTTTGATCTTCTCAGGATGCCAACCTCCTTTTGATGGTCATAGTTTACACACCCATATCCATATTACTTATGGTCATTTTTATACTGTGACTGACATATTTTTAATATACTGTTGAAATGCAAAACAGTCTATTGCAAACATGTGGCTTTCTTCATTTTCATTTTCCCCCCATTATTAACATTTTGCCTGAATTGTTAAAACTGACAAAGGCATTGAACATACAGTAAAATACAGTGTGCAGTGAAAAAAAAAAAAAGAGTACAATGAGTGCAAGCTCAATCAGACTGAACCTGTTCTCTCCATAGAAGCCCAGTAGTTAGCAGTATCAAATTTCTAGTCAGGTCAGACACTACACCATCAAATCATTGTCTTTGTTAAAGGTTGCAGGGGAACGTTAAGTTGTCTATGCTTACAGCTGTGCAGTGTGCAATAATCTCACGAGAGTCAACTTGACCATAGCAGTATCACAATTTGAACAGAAAGTGAGAGCAGGGGTTAACTGGGTAATAATCACTTCTTGGTTGTGTTAATTTAAGTAAGTAGTCATTTAACAGACACTCAAAGCAATGCTCAGTAAATTTATTAAAAAGATAATTCCCCTGGACTAACCAGGGTTAAGTGCTTGGCTACAGTCCACAGATCACTCTTTGCAATGACTGAACTTAAAACTTTTTGACATTACCAGACCAGATCTATAACCACAGAACCGGGGTACGGGAAGTGTCTCGTACAGTGGTAGCAGTGTTAGCAACACCAACGTCATGGTTTCCAGGGAATGCATGAATTGATATAATGTCTGAATCAGTGGTGTGCACAGGGTGGGGTTCGAGCCCCTGCCCCTTTAATCGCAGATGCTAAATTGCCCTTTCGGTCCGCGATTTCTTGACTTCACACTTTACTTTGTTACCCCAAGTATCTTTAAAGAACCTTTTTGCCTTCTGATGTTATACATTTTCACATTCATCCTCTCCTTCAATGTGATGTAATTGTAATAACTCTGCCTGAGGCAACGTTAAAGTCTATCCCATGGAGAAATGACAAGCCCTGTGATATAAGAGTGAAGAAGGACTTTTTTGCATTTATATAACACATCTCATTTGAAGATGTCATACACAATATCTGCATGTTCACAAACATTAATTAACGCATAGGCACTAACGACCAAAGAGAAGTTATATAAGATTTAAGTATATTTTCAGGCATCTTTAAAGAAACTGAATAATAAAAAAAAGATTATTTGGACCTCATTAAGGGACTGTTATCCAGCCTCACAGATTGCACTAACCTGATGGAATTTGCTAATTGGTGCTTTGATATTTCATTCTCTTATTTTGATAGCTAAATTAATTTGGGGTTAATAAGGGTTACCCAGATATAGACAGGGCACGAGTTAGGTTAGGGAAAGGGGAAGACATTGATTCAGCCAATGGAAATATCAGACATCTGTTCAGTATAAGCGAACTATCCCATTACCAATTGAAGGACAAATGAGAGACGGTCACATGGAAATTTGGAAATCAAATATTGCATAGCAATTGGCAAATGAACCATGAATGAATAGTTTTTGTCACAGCCTCACAAAGTCCTACCTAATACATGTTTGCCAAACCCAAATAAGCATTCGGACATGGAGGGTTTTCCCATTACAGAAGTGCATCAATGGAAAAGTACCAAGGCTTTCTCAACCGGTAAGTGCCCAAGGGGGTGCAAACTATGTTTGCTCTGTGACTTGTTCGCAGTGTTGCTCCCACTGCACAGATTTTCAGCCTTTCAATTCCCCGACACTCACTAGCCATGTATGCGTGCCTGCACACATCTGCCTACCCATC